GGTATATTATACTATTAATTAGTTTTATGCTCTTTTTCCCGAACTACTCTTTACTAAATTAGCATCAATTTTATGAAATTGTTTTTAAACTTCATTTAATATTAAAAGTGAATAAATATTAATTTCATTTTCATCGTTTATTTTTCAGTTCCAATATTTTTCATTTTCAATACATTGCTTCGAAATGAATTATTTTTTTTGAAATGAATTATTTCGCAATAAATTATTAAATTGTTTTATTCATAGTTAAATTATTCATTTGTGTCCATTTAATACTTATCAAAAAACAAAATTTTAAATATGAAAATATAAAAATACTTAAAAAAAAGACAAAAAATTGTTAAGCAATCAACGAAAATGATAAAAATTGTGATTTTTCTTTGAAAAGTAAAAACACCTTTGGTGAAAAGAAATGCAAACGAAATTTTTTAAATAATGTAAAATAAAATGAGGAAATAAATTATCTTTGAAATAATCCGGTCCTAAATTATTTGGATAATGCAAATTGCTGTTTGTAGTATTTGAAGCAGATCAAGAAAAATCACATAGAATTTTCCCGCGATCAGATCAATCACCGATACAGGTAATTCCAGTACGAGCAACGAAGCAAACTTCTGAAAATGAATCTACTACTGAATTATCAACATGGCAAAAATATAAAAATGGTAGTTTGGATCGAACAACAATTCAACCTAACAATCATTTTGTTGTTCGTGATAGGAATACTGATAGTAATAAAACTGTAACCTTATCTATCGTAAAGTCTAAATTAGCACCACATGCAATTTCATTACCAGAAGAAAGGGATAAATTTAAATTACAACAATATGGAACGGTAGCAGAATCACCCATGCTGAAAATATCCTCGAAGAGTTCAATTTCTAATGAATCCCATGAAAAGGTATATTCTATTTCAAAAAACAATATCAAGTTTTATTTTAAATAATAAATAAATCTAATATTGTCACCATTGTCAGCACATCCAAAGCTTACATGAATAGACTAGAATGTATAAGAGTTATAGATTCTTCAATTACTCGTCAAAAATCTTGTAAAATATGATTGCCACTATTTCAGCCACAACAGCAACAGCAACAACAACTACAACAACAACAACAACAACAACAACAACAACAACAACAACAACAGACAACAGACAAGACAAGACAACAACAACAACAACAGACAACAACAACAAC